GTCATGCCCCTCTGAGCCCACTGGTGCAATAAAGGCTGATTCTTCCGCCCCTTCTGTTGTGCTCAGTTCTTTCCTGGTTGGTGGGCGGTGTTAGCCTTGCTGTGACACTTGCCGTGGGACACCGGACGTCACACTGTCCCTGCCTGGCGTATTCAGCGTTGCAAGCGAGTGGAGATGAAAGATTTTACTGTGGGGCGGGCGTTCTCAGGGTAAACCACCATGTGCGGGGATACCGCCCCCCCCTCCGTCCGGCTCGCCTGTCCAGCGCTTCCAACATGCCCAGACATGCAGGCCCCGCACGACACTCCGCCCAATTAATTTCTTTCTATTTATAGTAGAGCCGGGGTCTCGCTCTTGCTCAGGCTGGTCTCAAACTCCTGACCTGAAGCAATCCGCTTGCCTCGGCCTCCCAGGGTACTGGAATGACAGGCGTCAGCCACCGGGCCAGGGCCTCAGGCCTCACCTCCGATTTTATACACTTCTTGGGGTTACTCACAACCAATCAACTATGAGCATGAGGAGTTATCCAGTCAGCGGTGGGATTCAGAAAACATCCAATTAGCAACAAGCTCTACATAGCCAATCAGCAACAAGCTTTTCATAGCTAATCAGCGGGAGTTCAAAAAGTATCCAATCAGCAGTGGGCCCGGGCGGGGGTTCTTCCCTGTCAGTCCCTGCCCGGGTAGCCACGGGGACGGGGACGCCGCGGACAGCGGGGAGCGGGGCGCCAGGACGCGGGGAACGCAGTTGAGGACAGGGCACAGTTTGGAAACGGGCTTCTATTTTTTTTTTTTTTGGAGGCAACGTGGTTGTGCCGCCCTCCCCCGCCGCGGGCGTGACGCGGCCGGACCCCAAACCCACGTCGGGTCCCCCAGGCGCGTGCCCGGCGGCCGGAGCTTCTGCAGACACTGCCGAGACCGTCGTTGTCGTTGCGTCTGGGAGCCGCGTCGCTGGGCTTCCAGGACGCGCGTCTGTCCGGGGTCCGCGGGCTTTGTCTGGAGGGGAACGGGGCGCTCGGGGGGCCCGGCGTGGGGCGCCTGGCGGCCGGTGCGGACAGAGGTGGCCGGCAGGGGCGAGGTCGGGACTCCGCGGTTCCCACATGCGAGCCCAGCCCGACCTTGGCTGGAAGGAACCCCGTCCACGCCCCAAGTCCCCCGTGACGTCACTGCGTCTGTCTTGATGTCACTGCCTCTGTCGTGGCGTCACTGCGTCTGCCCGGCCAGTTTCTGTGCACGCAGGCTGTGGCTGTTTTGTTTATATTTTTAATTTTTTGAGACAGAGTCTCACTCTGTTGCGCTGGCTAAAGTTCCGTGGCGTCAGCCTCGCTCACAGCAACCTCCAACTCCCGGGCTCAAGCGATCCTCCTGCCTCAGCCTCCCGAGTAGCTGGGACTACAGGCAGGCGCCACCACGCCCGGCTCATTTCTTCTATATAGATTTTCAGTTGTCCGGATAATTTCTATTTTTTGTAGAGACGGGGGTCTCGCTCTTGCTCAGGCTGGTTTCGAACTTCTGAGCTTGAGCGATCCTCCCGCCGTGGCCTCCCAGAGTGCTGGGATGACAGGTGTGAGCCACCGCGCCCGGCCCTCTTTGTTAATTTTTTTTAAAGTCTTTTTCCGTTGGTGGAGCTCATCTGTGCGCTCCATGGCGTGTCCGTTCTGTCTGCCTTCGGTGGGTCTGGCCTGAAAATGTCCTCGATTAGGGAGGCGGGTGGACCCTGTCCCGTGCCCTCTCCTGTCTCGTTTTTTTTTATTGTTGTTGTTGTTTTCAGACGGGGAGGAGGGGTGCGCGTCACTGGGCAGGTGCGGGGAGCTGGGGGGGTCCAGGTGGCAGGACGTGCTGAGGGATGGGGCGGGAAGGTGGGAGGTGACGCTGGTGGGGGGGTTTCCTGATGAGGCCCCATGGGGTGCTGAGTGGGGGCCAGGGGGGTGCAGGGACAGTCATGGGGCGCCTGGTGTCCTAGCCAGCCTGGCGAGGGCCTCGAGTTTCAGGTGCCAGAGCGTGTGCGCCTGCGTCCCTTTGTACCTTCCCTCAGCCCCTCAGCGCCCCCTCCCCACCTGAAAAGGAGGGGGGCGGCGTGCGTGCTTGTGAGGGTGCAGCTTGCAGGAGAAACGGGACGGAGGGGAAGGAAAGGAAGGCGAGGATTTGAGCTTGGTGGCACCCCAGAGCCCGCCCGCCCCATCATCCGCAGGGACAGCTGAGACCCCCCCCCACTTGGAGGGGCAGGTCTGGGCTGGAATGGGGTGGGGGGGGGACTGACATCAGAGCCAGATCTTTAATGGGGGGAGAAACCTCCCAGGCGGGGGCAGTTTCAGCAGCAAGGAACAGCTCTTTGCTGGGATGGAAACATCCAGAACAGAAAGGATCCGCTATGGTGGTAGATTCAGGTTGACTTTTTGTCTTAAAGGGGTTTCTGGCCGAGAAGCCGGACCAGCTGGCGCGTGTGCCTGTGGCCCCCCTCCCCCCATGTGACCGGGCGGGGAGGGGGCAGCGGTGGCTCGCGGAAATCGGCCCCCCACCACCTTCTTGGCCGGCACTGTCTAGACAGTTGACCTTTGACCTCCCCTCCTCCCCCCTCCTTGGTGTCTGAATCCAGAAGTCCCCGTAGTCAAAGCCCCATTCTTCCCCTCGGCCCCAGCCTCTACCCTCTGGAAGCTCTCGGGAGGCCGAGGCCACCTGGGGGCCGTGGGGCTGGTCGCAGAGGCAGGGCGACTCCAGGCCACCCTGTGCAGCCACGGTCCTCGGGCACCCACGGGCAACAGGGGCCAGAAAAGGGCTTTGTTTTCAGATCCCAGATGTGGTTTCTTTCCCCGGGGAACCAGCGCCTGTGCGGGGGCGCGGGGCGGCCAGCTGGGAGGGAGACGCCTCTGTTTTCCCCGCGAGGAGGTGGCCGAGGGCTGCCAGCGTCCCCTGAGACCCTCCCGCCCAACGCCCCGTGTTCCGGGGCGGGCACCCAGCACGCTCGCCAAGAGGCTCCGTCCCCCCTGCTTTTGGGGGGATGGCTGTCCCAAGCTGAGTGTCGGGGCCTCCCAGGCCTTGGGGAGACCCAGTCTGGCTGCACAAATTGCTCCTGCTCCCCCAAATCCTTTTCTCCTCCCCCGTCTCTCCCTGGAGCCCCCCAACCCCCCCACATTGCCCGGAGACCCACAGAAGTGCCTGCCCCTCCAACACTCCTGACGCACAAAGAAGGGGGACAGGAACCGGCCACTGGGAGGTGGCCACGGCTCTTGATGGCCCCTGGGCCTGGGTCACCCCGGCCACCTGCAGGGCGCAGTCTGAGGCCCGGGGCGCTTTTGCGTGCTGACCCTTTGTCTTAAGGAAACTCCCTCCTGCGGGCCAGGGCCTCCCTGGAGGCCGAGAAGGCCACACTTGGGCCTTAGGCAGTGGGGTTCACTTCCTGCCTGCCCAGGGAGCACTTTGGCTTTTTTCCGGGGGGCGGAGTTCCCCTACATCTCAGGTTTTCACTTTGCCCTAAATTACTCTCTAGGAAAAACTCTTCCTGCTGAAGGTGACTGTGTTTTCTGCCCAAAAAGGGGAACCCGGCTCCTCCGGCCTCAGCCCGGCTTCCCCCTGACCCCTGGAACCCCGGCCAGTGCCTTGTCTGAACCCCCCCGTGTCTGGGGCCCCCCTGGGGCAGAGAAGGGTCTCCCGGAATTTGTTTGGGACTGGGCCCTGGGGGACCCCAAACCTGACAGCCCAGAAAGCAAATAAAACAGTCGAAACGTGTCATTCTCTGTGTGTCCTTTTGTGAGGTCGGCCTGGGGAACCTCCCCCCCCCCCTACCCCGGAGTTTCCTGTCCTCAGCGGGTGGTCGGGTGCTGGATGGATAAGGACCACAGGGCGTCTGTGCTGTTCTCCTGCCTCACAGCCAGGGGCCTTGCTTCTCACGCACAGAGAGGTTGAGGG